CTACAGGCTGTTACGGCTCCTCGGTCCAGGGGCGAGACCCACAGGCCGGGTCTTGGCGGGGGGGAGCTCTTGGGCGGGGGAGCTCTTGGGCGGGGGAGCTCTTAGGCGTGGGAGCTCTTGGGCGGGGGAGCTCTTGGGCGGGGGAGCTCTTGGGCGGGGGAGCTCTTGGGCGGGGGAGCTCTTAGGCGTGGGAGCTCTTGGGCGGGGGAGCTCTTGGGCGGGGGAGCTCTTGGGCGGGTTGCCCTTGGGCGGGTGAGCTCTTGGGCGGGGAGCTTTTAGGCGGGGGGGGGGGGGGAGGTTGAATGTTTGCGTGTGTGTGTAAGGGGGGTGGGGTGAATGTGTGTGTTGGGGGATGGGGTTGAATGGGTGTGCGTGTATGGGGGGGGGGGGGGGTGAGTGTGTGTGTGTTGCTGGGGGGGACGTGTGTGGGGTGTGGGGGGGCTGCATGTGTGTGTGGGGGGTAATGTGTGTGAGGGGAGGGGGTTAACACGTGTGCGTATTGGGCTTTCTAGAAAAATCCCAATGCCTTCACCAGAGCCATGCGTGATACCATCACCTGGTGCAACGTCTCCAGGCCGAATGATTTATGCAGATTTCAGCAATGTTTAAGTTATGAGAAGATCCTCTCTGCATTAGCAACGAACAGGATGGCTGACGGTGAACTCCAGGGCTGTCTACATTTTCAAAAATCCACGTTCAGCCTCGAGGCCTTTGGAATTTATTCTTGAAAGGGCTTTTGGTAATGGAAGATGCCGATGGACTGCGCTTTTATACACGCATACACACAGAGTCGTAGTCTCTCTTCCCCTCCTCTCTCTACTTTTCTTTTCGAAAAATGTTTTCTGTGTACTAGGTTCATCGTTTTATTGTTTTGTTTATCACATTTTATCTAATGAGTATCACTATTATTCATTATTCTAAATAAAAAACCCTAAACAACGTAAAAATAAAGCAAGACAGAGCAAGACGCACAGCATAACACAAGTAATCAAACACATGCTATGTACGACAGACGCTGCGCCGTAACTTGTTTGTTAATTAAACTTGTGACATTGGCGTGTGGCATTAACTTGCTTCGGAGACGGAAAGTTTTAGTTGCAGATGCCCGCCGGCGAGAGCTGGAGCAAGACCAGGAACTTCCTCGCGGTAGTCGCTTCACACATGAGGCAGGGCGGCCGCTGCCACGACGCCCGCGCACCTGCCGAATATCTCGCACCTTCTGAATGCCTCGAGCTCCGTTGATGCCTTGCGCCTTCTTGGCCTCTTACCTCCTAAACGCCTTCCCCTGCTAGATGCCTTGCTGACTACCCTGCACCTGCTGAAAGTCTTGTACCTGCTTCGTGTCTCTCACCTGCTAAATGTCTCAAGTCTGCTGAATACCTCGCAACTGATCTATATATATATTTTTTTAACTGCTAAATGTCTCAGGTCTGCCGAATTTCTATCATCTGCTAAATACCTCGAACCTACTCAGTGTTTCTTCTCTGGTAAATGCCCTCTTCCTTCTAAATCTCTCCTATCTGCTAACTGCCTCGCACTTCCCAAATACCTCGTCCCCTGCCTTACACCTCCCCTGCTAAATACCCCCCCCCCCCTTTCTCGCATATCAGGCAAATGCCATACTCGCTGCGCCCTTTTCTTGCTCAACTCCGATGGCACCCTACTTACGCGGCAGGTGCCAGACTCTAGGCTCCCCTGAGGAAGTTTCGGGGAAGCTGGAGAGATGAGAGCGAGGCAAGGTTTCGGGGCGAGGATGGCGTAAGTCTTGGTGGGTCTTCCTGTTCGATTTAAGTCTATTACCATTATCATGAGCTTGATATTAATGGTGAATGTTATAGTAGTGATAATTAATATTACCCTTAGGGTTATTTGGGATATATCATTATAATGCTGACATATCATCATCTTAGATTATTATCATTATTGTTCCTGTTGTTGCTGCTGTCGATTTACTACAATTATGATTATTGTTAATATTACTATCATTAGAATTGTTATCATCGTCATTACGACCATTATCATTATCATTATTGTAGCCGCTGGTATTTCGCATACTTCATATCAGCAGCTGGTATATCACATATTTCGTATATAACGTATTCTGTAACACTTCGATCGGAGAGGCCCGTATGTTATAAATTCATCTTCTCTCCCAACCATCGGGTCAGCACATGGTCCGTATCATAAGAGCTCACCTGTCAAAAACATGTTTGTGTGAAGGGTCGTGTCATAGGCTCTTCGTGCGATCGATGCTGGGAGATAAATGAGATCGCGACCTAACCTAACATATGTAGTAGAATGTTACTCGACGATGTGGCATATGTATGTGCGAGGTAGTTCGAGGGGAACCTCCGTGCCGAGACGCCCTTAGCACTCTGGAGTCAGACCTTTTACCCGATTATCATTGCTCTTGTTGTTGTTGTCATTGTTGTTGTTGTTGTTGTTAGAGTTATCATTGTTTTTATCATTATCATTATTATTATTACATAATTATTTTCATTATTACCATTATCATTATCGTAATTATTATAATCATTATCATTGCCATTATCGTTACTATTATTATTACTGTTAGCGTTATTGTTATATCACTACTACTACAACTACTACCACTATTTCTATTGTTATTATCAGTAATATTATTATCATTATAATTATAAGTACAATTATTTTTATCATTATCATTATCCTTGTTATCGTTATAATTACTGTTTTATTATCAACAGTATTTCATTATTATCATTATTAATATCATTATCAATATCATCATTATTATTATTATCATTATTATTATTATTATTATTATTATTATCATTATCATTATTATTATTATTATTATTATTATTATTATTATTATTATTATTATTATTATTATTATTATCATTATTATTATTATTATTATTATTATTATTATCATTATTATTATTATTATTATCATTATTATTATTATTATTATTATTATTATTATTATCATTATTATTATTATTATTATTATTATTATTATTATTATTATTATCATTATTATCATTATAATTATTATTATCATTATCATTATTATTATCATTATTTCCTTTGTTATTATTATCATTATTACTATTGTTATTATTATCATTATTCTATATTATTATATCACCATCATCACCATCATCATCATTATTATCATTATCTTCATCATCAATATGAATACCATTATCATCATTATTATTATTACTTTCACTACAATTTAATCATCATTACAAAGAACATCAACAGTATCATGTTCAGACTGACAACAATCGTATTTTTTTGAGAAAACAGAACACAAGGCACAAAAAAAAAAAAAAAAAAAAAAAAAATGTGGACAAGGAAAAGCAAAGGACAGATGGAGGTGCAGTTAGTCTTGGTGGGTTATTTTACTTTTTATTCTAAATAAGGCTGTAAGTTGTAAAGGTATATTTGAATGTATGAATGTATGTGTATTTATCATGCTCTCTCTCTCTCTCTCTCTCTCTCTCTCTCTCTCTCTCTCTCTCTCTCTCTCTCTCTCTTTCTCTCTTTCCCCCTCCCGTTCTCTCTTTCTCTCATTCTCTCCCCTCTCTCTCTCTTTCTCTCTCTGTCTCAATCTCTGTCTGTCTGTCTATCTGTCTGTCTGTCTGTCTGTCTGTCTGTCTGTCTGTCTGTCTGTCTGTCTGTCTGTCTCTCTCTTTCCCTCTCTCTCTCTCTCTCTCTCTCTCTCTCTCTCTCTCTCTCTCTCTCTCTCTCTCTCTCTCTCTCTCTCTCTCTCTCTCTCTCTCCCTCCCATTCTCTCTTTCTCTCATTCTCTCCCCTCTCTCTCTTTCTCTCTCTGTCTCAATCTCTGTCTGTCTGTCTGTCTGTCTGTCTGTCTGTCTCTTTCTCCCCCTCCCATTCTCTCTCTCTCTCTCTCTCTCTCTCTCTCTCTCTCTCTCTCTCTCTCTCTCTCTCTCTCTCTTTCTCCCTCCCTGTCCCTCCTCCCCAAGATATGCTGTAGGGATGAATAATTTCTCCGATACATTGCTATCTCTGTTTCTATCCAACTGCATCTACTTTCCAAGGACGCCCACGAGAGAGCACTGGCCTGTAACTGATCTAGACACAAGGTTCCTAGTATGTCATAGGGTTGTTATTCTCTAGGAAAGGGGTTCTCTGGACAACAGGGCCATACAAAGCCTTTGGATTTGATATAAGAGGAAGAGGAGGAGCAGGAGGAGGAGGAGGAGGAGGAGGTGGAGCAGGAGGAGGAGGAGGTGGAGGTGGAGGTGGAGGAGGAGGAGGAGGAGGAGGAGGAGGAGGTGGAGGAGGAGGAGGAGGTGGAGGAGGAGGAGGTGGAGGAGGAGGAGGAGGAGGAGGAGGATGCGGATGATGATGAGGAGGAGAAGGAGGAATAATAATAATAATAAGAATAAGAAGAAAAAGGAGAAGACGAAGAAGAATAAGAAGAAAAATGAGATGACTAAGAATGATAATAATAAGAGGAGGAAGAGGAGGAAGAAGAAAAAGAAGAAGCAAAAGAAGAAGAGAGAAGAAGAATGCGATTGAACAAGGAAAACCTGAGCCAGAACAACAACAACAGCAACAAAAACAAAGAAAAAAAAAATCTAAAAAGGCGTAAATCAGAGCCAAAGACCCTAACCAGCGCTGCCATAACCACTCAGTGCCATTCCGACCCAGGCTGGTCAGCGCCTTTCGTTATTCACAGGGGCCGATGTCAGAGGTGCTCTCCTGAGGGCGAGAACTGACGGGAGGTCGGCAGGAGGTGTGCGTCTGTCTGTCTGTCTGTCTCTGGCTTTGTCTCTACCTTTATGCCGTAATTATTTTTGTTTTTCTCTCTTTCTGTTTTTCTTTATTGATTTTTTTTTCTTTTGTTTATTTGTTTGTCTCTCTCTGTCTGTCTGTCTGTCTCTGTCTCTCTCTCTCTCTCTCTCTCTCTCTCTCTCTCTCTCTCTCTCTCTCTCTCTCTCTCTCTCTCTCTCTCTCTCTCTCTCTCTCTCCCACTCTCAGTCTCTCTCTCCCTTCCTCCTCCCCCCTCTCTCTCTCTCTCGTCAGTTACACTCTCTTACCATTCTACTCCATACCTCGATCCCGAAGCTTTCTGTAGGCGGTTGGTTTTGCCCTCAATCCCCTGAGGCTGAGCAGTGACATACGCCTCGAGACAGCTTTTCTGTCGCTATTTTTTCTCCGCTAAATGCTTTGTTAAGCGTGAGTAAAACGTGGTGGGTTTTGGAGTTATTCTTTTTTCTTTTTCCCTTTTCTTTCTTTCTTTCTGGTGTTCTTGCTCTTTTTTATCTTTCTTTGTCTGTCTGTCTGTCTGTCTGTCTCTTTCTCTTTCTCTTTCTTTCTCTCTTTCTCATTCTCATTCCCTTTCTCTCTCTCTTTCTCTCTCTCTTCCTCTCTCTCTCTATCTCTTCTCTCTCTCTCTCTCTCTCTCTCTCTCTCTCTCTCTCTCTCTCTCTCTCTCTCTCTCTCTCTCTCTCTCTCTCTCTCTCTCTCCCCTCCCCCCCCTCTCTCTCCCTTTTTCTCCTTCTCCCTTTCCTCTCTTCCCCCTCGCCCCTTCCTATGTCCACCTTCCCCCCCCCCCCCAGCCCCTCAGGATACCTTTGGCGCTTCCTCTAAGGATAGGATTGAGCGTCTTAGGATGAATCATGCTTCCTCCTCTTCCCAATTATCCATTTTTCCCTCTTCTCCACCAACCATTCCTCTTTTCCCTCAATCATCAAATTTTATGTTTTTTCCTCCTCCCTCTCCTCCTCCGTTCCTTCTCGATTATCCCCGCCTCACCTTCTCCCTCTCTTCCACCTCCTCTTCGTCGTCGTTATCTTCCTCCGCATCCTTGATCTTCTAAATTAAAGAATGCTCCACCTCCTCCTCCTCCTCCTATTCCTATTTCTACTCCTTTTCTTCCTCCTCCTCCTCCTCCTATTCCTATTTCTACTCCTCCTCCTCCTCTTTCTACTCCTTCTTTTCCTCCTCCTCCTCCGTCGCCTCCACCTTCCTCTGCTCCTCCTTCCTCCTCCTCCTCCTCCTTCTTTTTCCCATCCTCCTTCTCCTTTTCCTCTATCTCCTTCATTCTCTTCCCCCTCTCCTCTTCTCCCTTCTCTTTTTCCTCACCTGCCTCCCCCCCTGCTCTTACTTCTCCTCTTCCTCTTCATCTTCCATCTCACCCTCTTCCTCTTCCTCCTCCTCCTTCACTTCCTCTTTTTATTCCTTACCCTTATCTTCTTCTTCGCCTTACCCTCACCTGTTCCTCCTCCTCCTCCTCCTTCCACTCCTCCCCTCCGCCTCCGCCTCCTCCTTCTCCCCTCCCCTCCTTCACCCTCTTCTCTCCCCCCTCCTCCTCTTCCTCTCCCTCCCTCACCCCCTCCAACCCCTTTTCCCCCTCCCCCCTCATTCTCTTCCCCCTCCCTCTTCCCCTTCTCCTCCTGTCCCTCCCACTCCCCTGCTTTTCTTTCCTCCTTTCTCCCTACTCCCCCCTCCTTCACCTCCACCTCCTTCTCCCTCCTCCTCCTCCTCTTTCCTCCCCCTCTCCCTCTCCTCCTTCCCTCCCCTTCCTCCCCTTCCTCTCCCCCTTCTATCCCCCCCCTCCTCCTCCATCCTCCTTCCCCTCCTCCTCTTCCTTCTCCTCCCCCGCTCCTCCTCTTTTCTCTCCCTCCTCCTTTCCCTCCACCTATTCCTCTCTCCTCCCTCTCTTCCCCCTCCTCTTTTCTTCTCCTCTTCCTCTTTCCTCCCTCTCTTCCCCCTCCTCCTCTTTCTTCTCCTCTTCCTCTTTGCTCCCTCTCTTCCCCCTCCTCCTCTTTCCTCCTCCTCTTCCTCTTTCATCCCTCTCTTCCCCCTCCTCCTCTTTTCTTCTCCTCTTCCTCTTTCCTCCCTCTCTTCCCCCTCCTCCTCTTTCCTCCTCCTCTTCCTCTTTGCTCCCTCTCTTCCCCCTCCTCCTCTTTTCTTCTCCTCTTCCTCTTTCATCCCTCTCTTCCCCCTCCTCCTCTTTTCTTCTCCTCTTCCTCTTTCATCCCTCTCTTCCCCCTCCTCCTCTTTTCTTCTCCTCTTCCTCTTTCATCCCTCTCTTCCCCCTCCTCCTCTTTTCTTCTCCTCTTCCTCTTTCCTCCCTCTCTTCCCCCTCCTCCTCTTTCCTCCTCCTCTTCCTCTTTCCTCCCTCTCTTCCCCCTCCTCCTCTTTCCTCCTCCTCTTCCTCTTTCATCCCTCTCTTTCCCCTCCTCCTCTTTTCTCCTCCTCTTCCTCTTTCATCCCTCTCTTCCCCCTCCTCCTCTTTTCTTCTCCTCTTCCTCTTTCATCCCTCTCTTTCCCCTCCTCCTCTTTCCTCCTCCTCTTCCTCTTTGCTCCCTCTCTTCCCCCTCCTCCTCTTTCCTCCTCCTCTTCCTCTTTCCTCCCTCTCTTCCCCCTCCTCCTCTTTTCTTCTCCTCTTCCTCTTTCATCCCTCTCTTTCCCCTCCTCCTCTTTCCTCCTCCTCTTCCTCTTTGCTCCCTCTCTTCCCCCTCCTCCTCTTTTCTT